TCTCTCACTTCAGCCACATGCGTCTGCTGGCTTCCAGGTGGAACCATCACTGTTGCTCGTGTCTTCAGTTGTGGACCTCTGGCCACCTGTCAAGACTGCTTTTGAATCTTTCATGAAGCTCTGATACCTTTCCAGAGTACATAGGTTCTCACTCCTGAGTGGAAGAAAGTTAGTCTAAGGAAGAGTTTTGAAGACAAAGTATTTTAAATTCAGCTCTAATTCTATGTAAATACAACTAAGCTCTGTCAACATTTATGTAACTTTTCTAGTCCTGCAGATGGTATTTTAAATTGAGGGCTGGGGACCATCTCTTATTTATTTTTATATCCACTTGGAACCAATCCATGGTATTCAGACAAGAATGAATGGTCAACACTATGAGTATAGTAAAACTCCGTGTAGTACTTCCTAATCTAAAATATTATTGTAAATTGTGATACAGTAGAAAGACTACTGGATAAGGAAGAAGAAATTCTAGATTCTAGTACCACCCTCCACCCCTTTACTAACTCTGAGGGAAGCCCTAGTTTTTATTTGTGGCACTATCTGGCTCCCTTTTCTGGTTTCTGAAGGTTGTTGGGACAATCAAAAGAGGAACAGTAAGTAAAAGTGCTTTGAAAGTGACACAGCTCCATGAAGTTGCAAGGGGAAACTGTTATGATATTTGAGGCTGCAAAAAATATAACTTTTTTTTTTTTTTGAGACAGAGTCTTGCTCTGTCACCCAGGCTGGAGTACAGTGGCGCAATCTCGACTCACTGCAACCTCTGCCTCCCAGGCTCAAGTGATTCTTCGGCCTCAGCCTCCAGAGTAACTGGAACTACAGGTGTACGCCACCATGCCCAGTGAATTTTTGTATTTTTAGTAGAGGCGGGGTTTCACCACTTTGGCCAGGCTGGTCTCAAACTCTTGACCTCAAGTGATCTGCCCACCTAGGCCTTCCAAAGTGCTAGGATTACAGGTGTGAGGCATCATGCCTGGCCAAGAATATAACTTTATTAGGCTTTACCTGCTATGTACATCCATCCCAGTTTCATGGCAGTCTCTGGCACAATAAATAACCAATTTGGCTAGATTCCTTTCTTGGTGTTGGCAATGCCTGATTTAAATAGCAAGTGGTTACTCGAGATCACAAATCCACCTGACTTATTTGATGGATATCACTAGATAGTAGTTCAGTATATTTGGCCAGAATCAGGGACAATGTCTGGCCCATTCAATGAATAATGAAATTGTCCTGTGCTCTCATCATGCCACGTAGTGTTTGTCTGACTGGGAAACTGTTTGAATGTACTGGCTTGCCTCCTTCCATACAAGGATTTGTTTCTAGTAGATGTGTAAGGGAAGGAGGGAGGTATGAATATAAGTGTTAGCACTTTGGCTCTAGCATTAGACTGCCTCTTTTCAAGTGCTTGTTTGACTGTTTTCAGACTGTGTGACCTTGCTCTAGTCACTTAATGCCCCTGGACCTCAATTTTTTCATTTCTATGAAGTACAGGAAAATATTTTTTATTTCAACAATTTTTGGGGAACAAGTGGTCTTCTATTACATAGGTAAGTTCTTTAGTGGTAATTTGAGATATTAGTGCACCCCTCACCTGAGCAGTATACACTGTACCTAATGTGTAGTCTTTTAACCTCAGGTTTGTAGTGATGTTTAAATTAGAAAATACAGGAAGGAAATTAGCAGGGTGCCTGGCCCTCAATAAAAAGTAGCTATTAGGATTTGTAAAACTTTGAACTTGAGTTTCTGACTTCACGGGCAGCCTAGTTTGAGTCAAATCTATCAGGAAAGTCTTCAGGGCTTCCTATATATAATTATGACCACGTTGTCTGCAGAGACAATTTAACTTCTTCCTAATTTAAGTGCCTTTTATATTTTTTTCTTGCCTGCTTGCTCTAAGACTTTTGGTATTCTATTGAATAAAAATGGTGAGCGTAGATATCCATGTCTTGTCATATATGGCCTTTATTATGTTGAAGTACATTCCTTCAGTACAAAATTATCTTTGTTAAGAGTTTTATCATAAAGGGATGTTGAATTTTGTCAAATGATTTTTCTGCAGGAGATGACCATATGATTTTTATCCTTCATTCTGTTAATGTGGTATGTCACATTTATTGATTTACTTACATTTAATCATTCATGCAGCCCAAGGATAAACCCCACTTGATCATAGTGGAGGATCCTCTTAATGTGCTGTTCAATTCAGTTTGCTAGTGTTTTGTTGAGGATTTTTTATCTATATTTATCAAGGATATTGGCCTAGGATTTTCTTTTCTTCTAGTGTCCTAATCTGGCTTTGGTGTGAAGGTAATGCTGGGCCTTGTTAAATGAGTTTGGAAGTGTTCTCTCTTCTTCGATTCTTTGGAAGAGAAAGTGGAGTGTTAGGTCTTTTTTTAAAGATAGTCTAGCTCTGTTCCCCAGGCTGGAATGCAGTGGTGTGATCTCGGCTCACCGCAAGCTCCACCTCCCAGGTTCACACCATTCTCCTGCCTCAACCTCCCAAGTAGCTGGGATTACAGGCGCCTGCCACCACACCTGGCTAATTTTTTTTTTTGTATTTTTAGTAGAGATGGGGTTTCACCTTGTTAGCCAGGATGGTCTTGATCTCCTGACTTCATGGTCTACCTGCCTCGGCCTCCCAAAATGCTGGGATTACTGGCATGAGCCACCGTACACAGCCTAGTTCTTCTTTAAATACCAGGTACTAATAAATTCAGTAAAGCTGCAGAATACAAAAATCAACATCCAAAACTCAGTTGCATTTTGCTAACAATGAACTATCCAAGAAATTAAGGAAATGATCCTATTTTTATAATAGCATCAAAAAGAATAAAATACTTAAGAATCAATTTAACCAAGGAGGTAAAAAAATCTGTACACTAAAAACTGTAAGACATTAATGAAAGAAATGGAACAATATCCTGTGTTCATGGATTGGAGAAATATTGTTAAAATGTCTGTACTCTCCAAAGCAATCTGCGGATATAATCCCTAACAAAATTCCAACATAATTTTCCACAAAGAGAGAAAAGCAGTCCTAAAATTCATATAGAACCACAAAAGACCCCAAGTAGCTAATGCAGTTTTGAAAAAGAAAAACAGAGTTGGAGGCACACAGCCCCGATTCAAATTATATTACAAAGGTATAGTTATCAAAACACTACGGCACTGGTATAAAAATAGACACATAGACCCATGGAACAGAATAGACAACTCAGAAATAAATCCATGCATTTATAGTCAACTAGTCTTTGACAGGGTAACAAGACTACACAATGGGAAAAGGATAGTCTCTTTAATAAAGGGTACTGGGAAGAAAATTAGACATTCCCATGCAAAAGAATGAAGTTAGACCTGTGACTTAAACCATACAGAAAAGTTAACTTGAAAAGGATGTAAATGTAATCTATGAAATGAAACTATGAAACTTCTAGAAGAAAACATAAGAGAAAAGGTCCTTGATATTGGTCTTTGCAATGATATTTTGGTTATGACACCAAAAGTGTAGGCAACAAAAGCAAAAATAAACAATTGGGACTACATCAAATGGAAAAGCAACCTACAGAATGGGAGAAAATACTTGCAAGTCATATATCTGATAAGGAGTTAAGATCCAAAATATAAAAGAAACCCACCTGCTCAATTGCCAAAAATTAATACCCTAATTAAAAAGTAGGAAAAAGAACTGAATTGATATTTTTCCAAGGAAGACATACAAATGACCAACAGGCATATGAAAAGGTTAAGGAATGCCATGCCCTCCAACTTTCCTATGGCTTTTTGTAATTGACTTTAAGTGGTTGCTGGCCACTCACTAGAATGGCATGGAGAGATAAACACCATGTATGATGGAAATTTTTAGTGCTTTTAGTTTTTGCTATTAACAGAGACCATCAAACATAAGAACCAGTTGCCATACCATTGTAACCTGCAATCAAAGATGATGACCATAATAACAGCTAACATTTTCTAAGACTATTGTGGCTGGCTCAAAGTCAGCAAAGACTTTCACACATGGATTAACTTTATCCTCTTAATATCCTAGGGTGAGGATCTACTTTTCAAATGAAAAAACTGACAGAGAAGTTCGAGAATTAGTCTAATCTAGAGGATGGCACAGTCAGATTCAAACCCAGGCAAGCCCACCACAAAGCCTGAGATCTTACGAGCTCTATTTTACAATTGGGCAGTCCACTGCAAAAGTGATCTGTTTTTTATTTGTATAAACTTAAGGGTACATAGTGGTGAAGTCTGGGCTTTTAGTGTAGCCATCACCCAAATAGCGTACCTTGTACCCCTTAAGTAACTTCTCGTCCTTCCCACCCTTCCAAGTCTCCAATTTCTGTTGTTCCATGACTATGTCTTTGTGTACAGATTATTCAGCTCTTGTTTATAAGTGAGAAAATGACTGACTTTTGACTTTGACTTTGTTTTTGGGTTATTTCACTTAAGATAATAACCTCCGGTTCCATCCATGTTGCTGTAAAAGACAGGATTTCATTCTCTTCTGTGGCTGAGTAGTATTTGATAGCGTATCTATACCACATTTTCTTTATCCAGGCTTCCACTGATAGACACATGTTGATTCCATGACTTTGCTATTTATTACTAGTGCTGCGATAAACATATGAGTGCAGGTGTCTTTTTGATATAACAGTCTCTTTTCCTTTGGGGAGATAGCCGGGGGTGGGATTGCTGGATTGAATGGTTGTTTGATTTTTAGTTATTTGAGAAATCTCCATACTGTTTCCCATAGAGGTTGTACTAATTTGCCTTCACACCAACAGTGTATAAGCATTCCCTTTTCTCTGTGTTGTCACCAACATCTGTTGCTTTTAAATTTTTTAATAAAAAGGAAATATTTTGTAGAGTATATGCCCGATGGGATTATAGCAATCTTTGAACTCAGTGTACTACTCTGTATTGAGTTTTATTTTGTCCATCTTTGGAGGAAGAAACAGTGTCACAAATATTATTTGGCCTTTGTTTTCCAGCTTCCATTGTGATTCAGAAATGGTGGTGTCACATGAATCCATGTTTGGAAGGAGAGGATTGTAAAGTGCTGCCAGATTACTCAGGTTGGTCCTGTAGCAGTGGCAATAAAGTCAAAACTACGAAGGCAAGTATAGACAAAATGCAACTACAATTTACAATTTATCAACTGTGGGGCTTCCTCCCCTTGATTTTATTCTGCCATCAAGAAAACATTATTATGTGTTGACAAACCTGCTTGGGCAGTGCTACCTTAGGGCTTTGGCCTTTTTGAAAAGTGCATTTCCCAGCATCATTCTGTGTGTCAGATTTTATACAGCAGTGATTTGGTGGGAGAATTCATTATTTCAGGCAGGGCCCCTAAATTCATTTCAGCTTCTTCACAAGCCCGATTTAAAGTAAAAGTTTCAGAGCTGACAGGCCAGTGTATCAAAACACCATGGCAAGAATCCACATCCAGATGATTTACTCAAGTAGAAATACTTATTGCTTTAAAGGAGATTTAATGGTTGTAGATTCTTATTCAAGACTTAGAAGCCAACACTTTTCTCCCCAAATCGTCCTCTTTTTAATTCTCACTGTCACTGAAGAACACCATTGTCTACCCAGTTCTCCAGCCAGAAACCTACCTTCTTCCTTATCTTCCCATGATCAGTTGGTTACATTGTCCTTAGGATTTTTACTACCCAACTTTTCCATGATTCTTCAACACTGCACTTACTACTCTTGTCCAATCGGCCATCTCATATGGAGATGCATCTAGACTGCTGGATTGCTGCCTTCCAGTCTGGTCCCTACACAGTGACTACAGTAATTTTGTAAAATGCACATCCTCTAAGCTAATCCACCTCAAAATATTCCACTGGCACCCTTTGGTAATTGGTCCACTAGCCTCTGCCTGGTCTTTAATGAGTAACATGGCCAAGCCACCTCCACTTCCTTCTTGCTGTTCTAAACATCCTGGCCTTTTGTCAGTCCCTCTTACCCTGGTCCTTTTGCACTGGCTGTTCCCTCTTCATAGAATATGTTTCCATCCTTTCTTTTCTGGTTACTCATCATTTTTTCAGGGACCTCTTTCCTGATTGAATGCATGCTCCCTGTATCTTTGAGCATTTATTATGGTTACATTTTACATAGATTGCTATCCATATTTTGCTTAATACCTAGAACTTTCTGTCTGGTGGGAGAGCTTTGATGTTGGGCCCTGGCAGTCCCAGAGCCAGCTGAATGCTTTGGTAACTATTTCTTGAATGAAAATTGACATGACTAAGGTCATTCTAAGATCATTAGAGTTAGACATACTGGAATGGAGTGACTCTGGTTCTCATTGCTATTGAACTTTGATACCTTAGGAAATACATACAGTGAATGGCTTCTTGCCTTTCTTATGTCGTCTCCTTTATGAATCCTTTGAATGAGAACTCTAAATGTTTAGTAATTCATCTTCAGCCATGAAGGTCAAAAGCAGGCCAGTTCTTCTAAGTGTGAACATGAACTATTAAGATTTTGTAAAATATATTAAAACATAAAGATAGTAAGTCTAAAACAAAATATTAGAAAATATGATTGTAGAAAACATTTTAAATGGGAACTTAAGCTGATATTATACCTCAGATTATCAATGGAATAGTTGTCAGTTGATTCTCTAGGTAAAACCAGAATGTCAAAATGAAGACCATTTTCAACATTAATTGCGATTGTCAACTACCTTACCCTTGTTACTGATATTGAGATGACTGGGATAATGACCTGAAATCTGCTTTTATATCCAGGGCAGCAGAAGTCCATGGAGTAATTTAAAAGGTGGTGCAAGGAGTTCAATACTCGTATCGTTCCAAGCCATTCCCAATAAACTTCCATCCTATATAGACCCAGCATGCTTACTAAGCAAACCCTGCCTTAAGATAATTTCCTTATCTTTCCCTTGGGCCATTTCAGCTATTTTTTTCCTAATTCCTTCCTAAGTAAAAATCTTAGAGTAACCCATGAATTAGGGTATTACATCCATCAGTGATAAAAATTTTCTTTCATCATATTTCTTGTAGGCTAAGGAATAACATTTTGGAAGATTCTATTTGTACTGATTTTTATATATAAATATAAAACAAGATCATGAGCAGAAGCCAACTGTAGTTCTCTTGGTAGAACGGCTCTCTATTTATGTGTAGTTAGAGAAGGCATTTGCAGGAAGCAAACCTTTAGGGACATTTTGGCTCAGTGCTGGGAATGTAAGTTTGCTCTAGCTAAATCCTCAATGGTAGTGACATTTCATTTAGCACTTTGAAAAGTTGTAGAAAGATAATACAGTTCCCCAAGCCATCATGATACTTGGGCTGCTTTTTTAGTGATATGTCACTTGAGAATAATCTTGAAGTCATAAAACTTTGTTTCCTTTATTAATCCAAGTCAGTGTGACTTGAACGGCATAAAACATTTTATGTCTTTTATGGATCTTATGCATATAGAGTAAATTCATTTGTGGATCTGTGACTAGCTTCCAGTTGTATCTTTTTCTTAAAATTGTTACTGACCTTACACCACAGGTAAGACAGAGGTCCTAGAAAAGCAGAGCAATTGTCTCCCTAGAGGATGTGTTAACTAAACTATATAACAAAATAGTTTCCATTTTCTTTAAACAGTTCATGCACAGCAGCATCAAAACACAGAAAGGCTAAAGTAAGATGGTCTCCAGTAAGCCAGCTATGTCAGAATTTTATTTTCCATTTAAATGCAAATATGAAAATAGTTGGCAGTTAACTTGAATACTAATAGCTTTAGATGAAGATATGAAAAGAGAGAGGATAGTTCCCTAACTAGTCATCTTTTCCAGGTATAAAATACTGGCATTGAGTTTACTCTGCCGACATAGTTTTCAGCGTCTCTAGAGCTACTGCTTCTTGTGGGAAAATATGACCCTCTCTATGGACCTGCCTTAATTGAAATCTGGGTTTTGCTGCATTCTCTGCGCTAAGGAGTTTTTTACTCTCTGGGGTTGCCATTGTTAAGCCTTCTAACAAGGGTATGATGTCGTCTTAGCATCGAAGCCAAACATTTGCCATATCTTGTTTGTGAGCAGAAGCAAATCACTTTGAATCTTGAAACATTTTAGACTTTTTAATGTTCTTATTTTTGAAACCTCTACTAAGGGTGAAAAGCTATGTCTTTATAGTAGTAGTTCTCATCCAGAGGCAGTTTTGCCCCTGAGTAGACATTTGGCAATGTCTTGGATATTTCTGGTCATCACACATTATGAGAATGCTACTGGCATCTTGTGGGTAGAGGCCAGGGATGCTACTAAACATCCTACAAAGCACAGACAGCCTCTACAACAATTATTTGACCCCAAATGTCAATAGTATGAAGGTTGAAAAACTGCTTTGGAGAACAGTATATTTTTTTCAGTAGCTCTTTGCAGACTTCCTACTTGATTCTTTTTTTTTTTTTTTTTTTTTTTTTTTAACAACTGGTAATCAATTTATTAAAATAGTTGACTTAAGCATCTGCAATGGTGACTTCCACCTCAACTCCAGGCTCAATACTGATGGAAGTAATCTGCTTAACAATTTCAGAAGGACTGTGCAAGTCAATGAGTCGCTTGTGGATTCTCATCTGGAAACGATCCCATGTCTTAGAACCTTCACCACAAGGAGTTTTTCTTGTAGTGATTCTCAGTCTTGGTAGGCATTCGAACTGGTCCTTTCACTTTCAGGTTCTTTTCCTTCGCGCCTCTGACCAAGTCAGCACACACCTTTTCCAGGGATTTAACGTTGCAGCTCGTTAGGGTGATTTGAATTCGGTGAATTGCCACCTCCGGCTCCACGGGTGTTTTTCCGGTATCCTTAAAAGCCATGGCTGCTGCGCGGCTTCCTGACCGACTTGTTCCTCGGCGAGAGCGAACAGCGGTGAGTCAGGAGCAGGAGCGTGCGAACCAAAGATCCGCAAGTCCTACGACCGGTCTTCCTCAAAAAGCCCTACTTGATTCTTTTACTTCATTTTTCAAAGTTTCTATTGTCTAAATATTTCCAATATTTCATATTGGAAAATTTCTACAGAATGGAAGCAACAGTTTTGTCTTCAGTATCTTCCTCAAATGGCTCTCTAATCTACCTGTCTCTTGGGCCATCACCATGGGTCATTGTCAATATAATAATAATTTAATGCTATCATGGGAACGTGTAAAAAACACAGTTTTAAACTCTAACTCTAGGATATTCTGGCATAGTAAAAGTCTAGGATAGGGCTTAGAAAACCATGCTTTTAAAACAGTTGTTCTTAGGGTGATGGTGATGAACAGGCAGTATGAGGGAACCATTAGTCTAACTGAGCTCTCTACCTGTTCTCACCCTTAATTGACTTATACCTTGCTTTCTCTGCATCAAGGGTAAACTCCCTGCCCAGGTTCCCTCCCTGTTGAGAGATCATCAATGGATCCCAGTTGGAAACTGATGCAAAATACAGATTATAAGCATCTTAAATGGGCCTTCACTGCCAATCATTGTACAGGCCATGTACTTCCCCATACCATTGCTGCCTCCTTTTTCCACTTCCTCTTCTAAAATTCCACTTGTCTTTTAATGTCCAGCTCAGATGACTCCTTTACCCTGAAGTTTTGTCTTCCCTGATCTCTATAGTCAGACTTGAAATGCTCAGGGTACCCTGAGGAATGGGAGTAGAGCTAATATTGGCATCTTAGTAGCCCTGTATCCATCAAAATTCAGAAGTAGCAATGAATCTTCCACATGTAATCAGTACAATAATAATTTTAAAGGAAAATAAATCTAAGAGCATTTTATCATCCAACTTCAGTGAAGTTGTCCAAAATGAGCTGGGCATGGGGAATAAGTTGCCTTTGACAATTACATCCTGGATGTACATTGATAGATCCAGAAAGAGCTAACATCACAATAGCCACCATTCCCTGAGTACAAACTGTGTGTCAACCACTGGGCTGTGTCATTCAAGTCACATATTTTATTCACTCTTTACTACAACTGTAGGGGGCAGGTACTATTATCTTTATTTTGCAGATGAAGAAATTAAGGCAAAGAGAGACAATCTACCCCATCACAGAACATGGCCAACTCCATCATTCAGTCACTCAAGCTAAAGATCTTGGAATTGTCCTTGATTCCTCTTTTTCTTACATCTTTGTCCTATTTGTCACAACTCTTTGACAGTTCAGTCTTGCCATGCATTTCTCATCTCTTCCTTGAACCTCAGAAAAAGGCCAAAGTCCTTGCATTTACCTCTTCCTCTCTTCCCAGTGAGTCAGGCCTCCCACACGTCCTTCAACCTTCCTTGACATCCTATATAGAAGAGCAGCCCTCTACCTTCCCTTCACCAGCCTTTCTTTCCTCTATTACACTACCTTACTTTTCTCCATAGCCTATATTATTAATTTTACCTGTTTGTCCAACCTCTTCCTCTGGAATAGAGATCAGCAAACTGTGGCTTACAGGCAAATCCAGCCCTTGGTCTGCTTTTGTATGGCCCATGAGCTAAGACTGGGTTTTACATTTTTAAGTAGTTGGAAAAAATCAAAAGCAGAATATTTCAGAATGCATGAAGATTATATGAAATTCAGATTTCACCATCTATACATAAAGTCTGGAACAAAGCAATATCCCTTCATTTATTTATTGTCTATGGCTACTTTTGTGAATGAAATAAAGGCAGAGTTAAGAAGTTGCTATAGTGACTGTGTGGCCGGCAAAGCTGAAAATATTTACCATATGTAGTCCTTTCCAGTAAACGTTTTCCAGCTCCTGCCCTAGAAGGTAAGCTCCATGAGGGCAGGGTTTTGTTTAGTTTGCTGTAGTTACCCAGTACAAACAAAAGGGGAGTAATATTGTTGAATACATAAAGGCCATATGTCAGTTAATAGCAAGGCTGAGGTTTGCATACATAGCTGATTGGGTCTAAAGCCCAGGTATAGTGACTGTACTATCAAATAATTTGCTTTGAAAAAATATTTTTGTGGTGTAGGCATGTTAAAGTCTTATGCTTTTTTTTTTCCATCTGAACTGGTATATTGGCTAACACATAAAATTTCTTATATGACCAATCAACTATAGAAACTGCTGTTCTATTTTCTTAGATCATAAGCAATGAGCCTGGATGTTTAAAAATGAAAAATACAACCACTACATTTTTAATGGATAATACAGCAGTTTTATAAAATAACCTATTTTCAAAAGTGAAAGTTAACTGCATAAGAAAAAAATAAAGGCAACATTTTAATCTTGACATGCACTGATTTTAATCAAGCATTTGAAAAATTTTTAGTGCCATTAACAAAGCATGCTCAGCATGCATGAATTGATGGGCGATGAGTGTACCTAATCAGATGGGATTTTTATAACCTCACAAATACAAAGCCAGACTGCATAATACCCTCTTTTGGAAGTCTTTGTGCATGTATTCTTTATATTTCTTGCTTTTAGGCTGCAAAGCAGAATTTGAACAGTTGATTTGGTGAGGTCGGTTGTAGGTAAATGTACAAACTGATAAACTATTCACAGTCAGGACCTTATTGGTCTACGGGGCAGGAATGGTTATTTTGGTGGGTATGGATTGTTGAATGCTCCCTTATTTGATTTGTTTTAGGTAACGCGGTAGCGAAGAGAGAGGTGTGCTTCAATCCTGGAGGGGCAGCAGGATGCGGAGCACTTTTGCTTGGATTCCCATCCTGGCCCCTTTGCAGAAAATTGTCTAGGATTTCAGCAACTTCATATTTGTATATGAGAGCTGTGAGAGGTGGCATTCACTTAACTGGCCCAGCCCTCTCTGCTTCGTGATTTTATTTCATCAAATTATAACCACAAGCCACCACACATTTGACATCCTATCTGGATTCCCAAGGAGCATACCTCCAACATCCGAGAAGAGCAAATCAGAGTCTTCAAAATGGATCACCACTAAGGGCCTGTTCATTCTTCACTTTCTTTCTGCCTTTACAAAATAACTTAGATGTATGTTTCAAAGGGTCCTCATTCTGTTCCTCTTTTGAACTTTTCCTTTTGCCCTTGTATTAAAGTAGTTTTAAAGGGGTCTAAAAAGATTTTGGCAAAACGTATTTGCAGATGTAGATTAACTGGTGAAGAAAATTACTGCTAGAGATCAACTGGTTAACTGGTAACGAACATTTATTTTATAATCCTTGAAGAATAGAAGGACATAGTTGGATTATTGTGTGTCATTGTATTTTTACTTTCCATTGTCCAGTTAGCAGAGAGAAAATGAGAGCATTTTAACTTCAATGTACCATTTTACTGAGTGCTAAGGAAGCATATCAATTCCAATATTTTATAACCAAAGCTCTATCAGAACATATTTATAAAACTTGTTGGAATTTTTATGGCTTTTGTGTAGTCATGTAGGTAAATCATTTAAAATATAAACAAATCTCAATTTAGATCAAGAGTTATTTCTTAGATCAAGTTTATGCCAATTATATGAAAATATTTTAACTCCTAGACAAGAGTCTTTCAGTGCTGAATTTTTAGACTGTAAATGAGTTCTTCTTAGCTTGGCTGTTTCCCTATTTCGGTGTTATTTCTTTTTTCTTTAAAATCTGAGTCCTGATTGGCTTAATGATTTTGCAACAGACATGTCTCCACATATTCTCAGATGCTGTCACGTGGAAATGTATGAAACAGATGAAGAATGACTGACCCAGATTTTAAATGTATAAGGTACATACTACTGTAAAAATATGGGACGAATTTTATATATTAAGAAATACCAAAAACATAGTTTGTGCACCAAGTTAATTATCCCTGTCCTTTCACATTTATAGGGGGAAAATAAATCAATACTTTAATGTTGTTTATAGCATAATGGTTATTTGATTTTATTCTTGCAGAAGGAATGGAAAGATTTGTTGGCTAAATTTTTGAATTTGACTAGATGCTTACTACATTTGTTATGATTGTATGAATAAGTAAAAAAATTCATCCTGCTGATGGCATACATGTTTTTGTGATTATTATATGCCTTAAGACTTTGTGTTAACATCCTACCTAGGCTTGCAGATGTTAAACATGAAAAACTCCTTTTAAAAATAACACTTAACTTTGGGGATGTGAACTATGTCGCAAAGTTGGCACATACATTTGGGTGGCTTCGTTTCTTCTCCCAAACCTATGTAGCATTAAGCCTAGGTACACTCATGATGTTTTATACATACTTTGCTCCCTTTAGTATTGAGTTAAATATATATATATATAAATTTTGTGATACATGAAACAGTGACTTAATTTTTTAGCCCATACGTCTGATCTCGTACCCCAAATAAGATTAAGTAACTATGACAATACTTCACCTTTAGGTACATCTCTAGTGAGTAAACCACTTCCAGGGAATCAGTGGTCCATTTGGGAAAATGGCAGGCCTCAAAGCTGCCATTTCATCCATTGTTGTTTCAAAGTGTACTTTTTACTTCAAAAGTAAGGCCTGAAATGGGGCTTGCTTTGAGAAGCATTTTAATGTTATCATTCCCATTCCTTTCCTGTAGGGAAATAGGTAAGAGAATTTTTGGTATTTTTACAGAATTTAAAACAAACATACCAGGACAGTTTTGAGGCTGTTGGTCGCAGCATGTTAGGACTCTGACTGGCACATACAGTCTCAACACCTGAGAAACCTTTGCTGCTTGTATCTGTGTGGACACAGCCAAAGTCTCTATAAAGGAACAGTAACTACCTAGATTTTTCTCTCTCTGCCTCATGTCTGGATGTGCTGCTCCAAACCGTATACCCCTTTGCCTTCATTTCCACATTGGAAAGGTGAAACTCTGTTAATAAGTTACATTTAAGGAGCCTCTACAAGGCTGTTCAGAGTTATTGGCAAAATTCTCTGTCCCTCTATAAACCTATTTTTCTACTCAATTTGGGAGATATTTATGAGTATTTCCATTTCATAGAGGAGAATTTAAGACCTACAAGATATTAGACCAACCCAAACTCACACAGGGAGTTGTTACTGGAAATTATACAATGAGAGTCATGGTGAGATACAGAAAATTCTAGATTTTTCTTTGAGAGTACTTCTAAAATACTATTCTGTATTCTAGGTGTCCAGGTGATGGACTAGCCTTAAATCTGTAGCCAGATTCTGTTTGCATCCAGCACCTGCAGTCTTTGCCACTATCCCAATGTCAACAGACTGATGAAGAATATCATGTTGCTACCCATTTTTTAAAAATGGGTAAAATAATCATAACTGAATTTCTGCTTGTGTTTAAAAGAATATTTGTATTTTAAAGAATTTATTTAAAGGAAATCTGGCCAGGAACAATATTAAAAATATTGAACTGCTCTGTAGTTGGTCTTGGACTATAAGTTGACTGTAAGTTACATATACCACTGTGCTCAATGGCAGATCACTTGCTCCTCCTCATGCCAGAGGCTACCTGATTGTGTAACTGAGCAGTCGAGCTTGAAAATGCACTTTTAAACTTTTTTTCCCTCCTTTCTTCCAAGTCTCAAGATGTAACCTCAAAACAACTGTAGAAACTTTTCCTTAGTCTTAAAATAGAGCCTCAAACATACTTTGAAACTCCATTCCCTTCCTTTTACACTAGGTACTCCTTTCCCCCATGCACATTTATCTAACTGTATGCTTTTATCTAATTATATGCTTACTTAGAAGTCCCAGGGGCTAATGTTGAGACAGACCAAGAATGGAGACCCAGCTGCAAAATTCCAGAAATTACCTCAAGGTGGTTAGTCCACACCCCAGCCATTTTAAGATGACAGCCGTCCGTGCTCTTGGTAGACAATAGTTTGAGATAGCCACCAGAAGAAGACATGTGGACTTTGTATTCAGCACCATTCCCCCACGCCTCCCATTCCAAGTTCCCTCTTTAATCCCTTCTCCCCAGCCGAAAGTTTGAAGTGGTTCTGGAAAGGGTGAGCTGGCTGTTTCCCCGCAGCTAGCTCTAGAAATAGAATCATTTTCCTTTCACTACACTTCATCCTTGTTGTTGGTTTTATAAGTGGTGAACAGCTAAGCCTGCACTTGATTACAAGAGCAGATACAATCTAGCATATGTTATGTGGATTTCCAAGGCTGCTTAAACAAGCCCATGTGGCAACATTGAACAGCCTATGTTCTCTCACATCAACACTACTGGATGCAGAGAAGCTGCCCCTTTTATGGGTCTATATATACTCCTTCATCCACCACCATCTCTACTTGGCCAGCTTTTTTCATTTGAATTTTTGCAAGAACTTGTTGGTGTCTATACAAGGTTGAGCATTGACTCCTGAAAGTGGCAATGGAAACACCATACCAAAAATGCCTATTTCACAGACAAACTGGAATATGCTTCCACACGAAATTCTTCATGCACTATTAGGGACCCACTGACCAAGGATAAATCCATTGCTAGTCTGTTGACTAACTTTGCCATTTAGTGAAGCAGTCAAGCCTGAACAAACTGGCATAGTATCTGCATATAACCTACGCACATTCTCCCATAAACTGTAAGTCATCCCTAGGTTACTTATAATACTAATACAATGCACATCCTATATAAATAGTCGTCATACTGTATTTTGGGAATAATGACAGGAAAAAAGGTTTGTACATGTTCAGTATAGACACAACCAACCTTTTTTCCCCCCAAGTATTTTTGATCCACAGTTGGTTAAATTTAAAAATGCCCATGGGACTGTAATCAGCTCTTAATAAAGTTGTGTATCATTTATGAATAACTTGTAGTCCAACTAGTCATTTCATGCCAAAAGAAAAACCAAAAAGCCTTGCCTGAAAACTGGGGCTTACGGTTTAAGTGCATGCTGCTGATAGAAAATTGCGAACAGGTAAGACTAGATCTTTTCATGTTTTTTCCTTGTTTCCAAGTCAGTGAGAAATTTGAGAAAGTAAAGAAAGGACAAACTCAGACACTCAAGAAGCATTGCTTCCTGTTGCCCTTAGCTGTCAATTTGGCAGAATGTTGAAAACCCATGTGCTTTCTTCATGGACAAGTAAGTGCCTTGGCCTGTAATACCTATCTGGTGGACATCAGAGCACCACTGGAAAGAAAGATACAGAACACAGGTTATCCCAATTTAATCTGAAACATGAGATGACAGATGACACACACACACACACACACACACACACACACACACTCTTTCAGGTTCACCTTGTAAAAAAAACTCAAGCCCCATTCAGCAGCCATATTAAGGGAAACAATCATTTCAAATTACAAAGTAATCTTGTAAACAGAAACTTAGAACAAAAGAGCCCAGTAAATAATTGATGAACAGTTACTGAAGCATGTTGGGCGTCTTTGTAGTATTGATTTTTGGCTATGAAGAAAGCAGGACTCTGCAAGCTCATACTTTTGTCTCTCCTATTTGGTACTATCAATATTCATAGCCCACTTACATGTTAGGAATGTAAAATGATGCATCTTTTATGTTGTTCATTTGGGCCCTTGCTCTCTGTGGATGAGGTCTCTGACTCATTCCTTAATTATCAGCTTTGATTCTTTTAATGAGAAGTTATCAAAATAGTTCAGGACACTGAATTATTAATTGAATAACTGTAATTAATGATCAAGAAATGGAAACAAGCAAATAAACTTTGGTCTTCTACTTCCAAGTCTGAAATACTATTCTCAGAAGTTCAGTTGGGTCTCTGAACTTCTCTGCCTTCTCTTTCAATTGCATCTTCACCATTGCTTTGTTACATGTATTAAGTTCAGTGCTCAGTGTTTTATAGGCCATTCACAGCATGGAAAATAAAATCATGCCCTTGCTATTTTATTGCAATAACTGAAAAGAAAACATAAAAAATAATCCATAGTTTCTCTCATACACACAAGTCAATAGAGTGGAATGCTTAGGTCAGCTCAGCGGGGGCATGGGTTGAAATAGGAATCAGGACAATACTTTGGAATATTTAAATATGTATGAGTACTATATATCTGACAGAGGACTGAAACTGATTGAGTGCCACAGCAAAGAAACTAAGGTAAAACCACTAGGTTTCAGCTTGAGAAAAAGTTAGCGACAACTCTTGAAATTGTCAAAGTCAGAAAAACTGGTATTTGATGCTTCCATAAGCTATTTCAATCACTGTCTTTCCTGATTCACTACTAGAGCACAGACAAGGAGTAGGAACCGAGGAGGGAATCTGTGAAAGATGCTGTGTCTGACATTCCCAAGGGAAATGGATATTGCCTGTGGAAAGTCAGTACAGATGGCTCTGATTTGGCCACGTATGCATTTGGCTTAGGTCGGAGTGAGTGAAGTAGTGAGGGATTTGCATGGGTTTTTGGAGGGCTCTTATTTTACAAAAAAGATTAGGAAAAACTAATCTTAAAGGCCTTTCTCATGTGTTACTCCATTCCTCTTCTTTAAAAAGAGCTATGTTGGTTTTTCTCTTCCCTCCTGACATCTCAAACACAAAAAGGAGAAAGAAGAGAGTAGGGAACTATTCAGGTTCAGAATAGGGCTTGGAAGGAAGATCTGCCCAATAGCTAATTTGTAAAAATTGATAGATTTGACTACAGAAAAAACAAAACTTTGTACATGGCACAACCACATAAACCAAACTAAACTCAAACTGGCAATAGTATTAACAGCATATATGGCAGACAAAACACTGATACTCATATATGGAAAGTTTTTACACATCAGTAAGCAAAAGATGAACATCTCAATAGAAAAGTGAACATGAGAGGGGTCGAGATGGCTGATTAGAAGCAACTACAATCTACGGCTCTCACAAAATGGTCAGTGAATTCTGCACCTGAGGTATCTAGGTTCTCACATTGGGACTGACTAGGAGAATGGCTCAACCCAGGGAGAGTGAGGAAAAGCAGGGTGGGGTGATGGTCCACCCATGAGTGGCAAAGAACCAGGGGAACCCCCACCCCCAGCCAAAGGAGGTGGTTAATAACTGCATGACCCTTCCTGGTAAACCATGCTTTTCCTATGGATCTTTGCAACCAGTGGATCAGGAGACCCTTTCATGAGCCCACATCACCAGGGCCTTGGGTCCAAAGCACAGAGCTGTGCAGAGTCTTGGTGGAGTGGCTGCCTACCCACTCACTGGGTCATTTAGGGAAACCTGGGAGTTTTGCATACTCCAATCCCAGGAATTCTAGCAAGGCAGGAGATTCTGTGCATTTGCCTAGGAAAGGCGCTGAATCCAGGGAGCCAAGCAGCCTCATTCTGTGGGCCCCACACCCATAGCACCTTGTAAAGACTCTCTGGCTTGGAATTCCAGCTGGCCAGCAGCGGCAGACTGGAAATGGCCTGAGATGGATGGAGTTTCCAGGGGGAGGGGCAGCTGCCGTATCTGCTGTTCCAGTTGGCTGCTGTAGCCTACCAGTATTGGGGACCAGGAGGAATTCCCCACAACACAGCACAGCTACTGTGTCTGATCATGGCCAATCTGCTTCTTTAAGTGGGACACCAATCCATCTCTCCTTACTGGGAGGGGCATCCCTGTGGGAATTTCAACAACTGCAGCCAGAGTTCTAGGGACAGAACTCTCATCATTCCCTGGTGCTGCCACTCCCAGTGGAGAGGGGCAGCTGCTATGTCTGTGGTTAGCAGACTTAATCTTTCTAGGCTCCTATCTCTGAGGAGGCTGGGTGGTCAGTGCAATGCACCTGCTCTGCCAAGGAGTAGCCAGACTGCTTCTTTAAGTGAGTCTCTGATCCCATTTCTCCTATCTGGGCGAGACATCCCAACAGGGGTCTCCACACACCTCCTACAGGAATGTTCTGGCTGGCATCAGGTTGGTGCCCCCCTAGGATGGTGCTCCCAAAGGAAGGAACAGGCTACCATCTTTGCTGTTTCGCAGCCTTCACTGGTGATACCTCCAGGTATGGGAGGGACCAAGGCAACGATGGTCTGGAGTGAACCCCCAGCAAGCTGCAGCAACCCTACAGAAGAGTAGCTTGACTGTTAAACAAACAAACAAATAGAAAATAACAACATTAACAAAAAAGACCCCACAAAACCCCATTTGAAGTTCAGCAGCCTCAAAGATCGAAGGTAGATAAGCCCACAAAGATGAGAAAGAATGCAAAAATACTGAAAACTCGAAAAGCCAGAGTGCCTCTTCTCCAAATGACTGCAACATTTCTCCAGCAAGGGCATTGAAGTGGGCTGAGGCTGCTGAAATGGATGAATTGACAGATGTAGGCTTAAGGAGGTAGGTAATAATGAACTTCACTGAGCTAAAGGAGCATGTTCTAGCCCAATGCAAAGAAGCTAAGAATCATGATAAAACATTACAGGAGCCGATAATCAGAATAGCCAGTTTAGAGAGAAGCATAAGTGACCAGATGGAGCTGAAAAACACAATATGAGAACTTCACAATGCAACCACAACTATTAACAGCTGAATAGACCAAGTGGAGGGAAGAATCTCAGAGCCTGAAGACTATCTTTGTGGAATAAGACAGGCAGACAAGAATAGAGAAAAAAGAATGAAAAGGAATTAACAAAACCTCAAAGAAATATGGGATTATGTAAAAAGACTGAACCTACGACTGATTGGGGTACCTGAAAGAGATGGGGAGAATGGGGCTAAGTTGGAAAACATACTTCAGTATATCATCCAAGATAACTTCCCCAACCTAGCAAGATAGGCCAACATTCAAATTCAGGAAATTCAGAGAACCCCAGTGAGATACTCAATGAGAAGATCAATCCCAAGACACACAATCATCAGATTCTCCAAGGTCAAAATGATGGAAAAAAATGTTAAGGGCAGCCAGAGAGAAAGGTCAGATCAACTACAAAGGGAAACCCACCAGACTAACGGTGGACCTCCCAGCAGAAACCCTGCAAGTCAGATGAGATTAGGGGTCAATATTCAACATTCTTAAAGAAAAGGATTTCCAACCTAGAATTTAATATCCAGCCAAACTAAACTTCATAAACAAAGGAAAAGATCCTTTTCAGACAAGCAAATCCTAAGGGAATATGTTACCAGAAGGCCTGTCTTGCAAGAGCTCCTGAAGGAAGCACTAAATATGGAAAGAAAAAACCATTACCAGCCACTAAAAAAGCACACTGAAGTACACAGACCAGTGACACTATGAAGCAACCACATAAACAAGCCTGCGAAATAACCAGCCAGCATCATGATGACAGGATCAAATTCACACATAACAATATGAGCCTTAAATATAAATGGGCTAATGCCCCAATTAAAAGACACAAAATGGCAAGCTGGATAATGTCAAGTCCCATTGGTATGCTGTCTTCAAGAGACTCATCTCATGTGCAGACACACATAGACCCAAAACAAAGGGATGGAGGAAAATTCACCAAATGGAAAACAGAAAAAAGCAGGAGTTACAATTCTAGTTTCTAATAAAACAGACTTTAAACCAACAAAAATCAAAAAAGACAAGAAAGGGCATTATTATAATGGTATAGGGTTTAATTCAATAAGAGCAGCTAACTATGCTAAACACATATGCACCCAATACAGGAGCATCCAGATTCATAAAACAAGTTCTTAGAGACCTTTAAAGAGACTTAGACTCCCACAAAATAATAGTGGGAGACTTTGACACCCACTGACAATGTTAGACAGATCGAGAAAGAAAATGAACAGATATTCAGGAGCTGAACTCAGCTCTGGATCAAGCAGACTTGAGAGATATCTACAGAACTCTCCACCCCCAGACAACAGAATATACATTCTTCTCATCACATGGCACTTACTCTAAAATTGA